AACATCCATTAATAGTTTATTAATCCTTTGATTATCATTATTTTAAAACAATTTTATTCTTAATTAACGGAATCTTTTTATATATATAAAAAAAAAGTCAAATCTTTTTTGGTTTAATTGTTGGAAGCTCCATTGGCATCCAAACAAAGCTCTCTCTCACCCACTTTCACTTCACAACAACAATCATCATCTTCCTCACTTTTTCCGCACTCTTTCTTTCTTCCTTCCTTCTTATTATCACCGACGATTGAGAAAAAGAAAAAAAACAAAAATTCATTGAAGTTTCACTTTTGAATTTCCTGGGAAATTGCAAAAAATAAAAAAAACAATTAATGAATGAAATCTCTATATTTTAATTAAAAAATTGAAACTTTAACTCTTCCTTCTTGTGTCTGTCTCTCTTTCCTCTGTTATCTGTTTTCATATTAATCTCTCTCTCTCCCCGATCGGAAGCAAAGAAATCAATTTTAGGTCTCTGGCCTCTTCTCTCCTTCCAGGTCAGTTCTCGATCAACAAGATTTTACTCTTTAGTTTTGATTTTGCGATCATTTTGAAGATTACTGAAAATGGGTTTTGATGATTCGATCCTGATCGTTATTGATCTCAAATGTTTATTTCTCTTGTTGATTTTGTCGTCGATTTCACTCTGTTTGCTCAATTCTTTGGGATTAATCGGAATGGCTTTTTTGGTGTATCTTTTATCTCAACTGGGTTTTGTCTGTTTCTCTGTTATAACAAAGTTTATATCTTTTGCTTTTGTGATTGTCGGGGAATTCACCTAAATTATGGTTTTTGTCAGTTTTATGTGGTTGCATTTCGCTATAATGAAACCTCAAGTTTAGTTTTTGTTTGTGAGTGTTCAATGTTCAGATCGAAACTCTCTACTAAACAGAAACTGGACTATTTGGTTTGTTGAGATGAATTTGCATTTATCTGAAGTTGCTTTCTTCCAACAGTGATTACATGATCTTGGAGTTATTAAAGAATCAAACTCATTTTATCATTACAGTTGACTTGGAGATATGAAGCAGATTGTTTAGGGGAACGAGACTTCTGTAAATAGAAACTTCCAATCGTCGAACCTTTATTTTAGAGGTAAAGGAACATAGAGAAGAGAGCAGAAGATGGGATGTGTTTCGTCTTGCTTTCGAGTCGAAGACATTGATGAGTACATGAATCCAAGTAGCTCTGTATATAGGAACTGTCCCTGTATAAGATGCCTTGTTCATAATTTCCTTAACCTGGTACGTTTATTCGCATTGCTTTAATTAGTAGACGATGCTTTCTTATGGTCTAATCTAATTTGATCTCATATTAATTGTTGTAGTATATCTCGGTATTCAGAAGAGGGGAAACCCGCTCTCTACCATCTTCGGTTCAAGCTACTTCATCGATAACTTCATCTTCTTCGCACGATAACTTTCTCTCTGAAGCATTCCGTTCTACTCCAAGACCTCTGCCTTATGATGCTGATCCTAGATACTTCCGCTCACTCGTCTCAAGACGGGAGAAGGGTTCAAGTCATTCCCATGAGGAAACTGAACCTCTAAGAAGTGATAGCGATGGGGATTCTGAGTCTTTCCGCATGGGAGGATGCAAATGGGCTAATAATAAATCTGTTCACTCTGATAAAGATTCCAAAGAAGAGTACTATACTAAATCCGGTCTCAGGATTTCGAAATCAAAGTCCAAAATGGCTGACTCTGAAGGCATGTATATATTGTCTGAAGATGAAGATGTGTGTCCAACTTGTCTTGAAGGTAATAAATAATCCCACTCCTAACTCTCTTTTGCAATTTCCTTTTAGTTCCTTCAGAGTATTATTCATCATCTTGTTTGGGGTATTTTGTTGCAGAATATACATCAGAGAACCCAAAGATTGTAACAAAATGTTGTCACCATTACCATCTTAGTTGCATTTATGAATGGATGGAAAGAAGTGAAAACTGTCCCGTCTGCGGAAAGGTAACTACATTTTTTACCTTTCTACAATTCTCCGAACAAAGTGAAAGATCTATCCTAATTGTAAAGAAAGCTCACACTTCTCAATTGCCTTTCATGGCTTCTTCTGGTTTTATCTGCCTGAGAATGATGTGAGATAGATAGAACAAGTGAAACACATATGCGTAGATGTCTCCCGTAAAGCAAAAGTTTGAAAAAGCTCGGTCTGGATTCGAAACAGTTGTGTTGTTTTGATATATTCCGATTTAAACAAAGCTCCCATTTTTTCTTGTATGCAGGTGATGGAATTCAACGAAACACCGTGATCATCATCGGATAATTGATCTGCACTCTGTATCTGAACCGAAACCGGGGAAGATGACAAGGGCAATGCAAAGGAATGTTATGTAAATTTGGCTTTGTTGGTCTCTGTGAATATTGTCATTTACAATGGTATATATATATGAAGCAGAAAGGGAAGAAAATGTTCCTCTGCGTCAATTTAAGCTTATGATAACTCTATGAAACAAGAAAAAGAAATTGCAATGTTTCATTCATAATTTAAGTAATTTCTCTCATTACATGCCTCTGTTGTGTTCTATAATCATCGAAACTCTTTGCATGCCTCTGTTGTGTTCTAATCTAAGGAAATACAAAATACTGATTCAGTGGGGAAATTAAAAGAGAGAAAAAAAGTATAGGGCCTTTTGTGTAAATGTTTCAAAAAATGAAGGTCCTCCGATGTTAAGTACCACAAATTTTTCTCTTGAGTTTTTTTTACCCGACACGGTCCTCGAGCTGTCTGAGCAAATGAACGAACGAACGATCCTCATTTCTTCTCTCTTTCCCTCCGTTTCTTACATACATTACAACGCCCAATAGGAACAAAGGATTCTTCCCAAATTCGTAACATTGATCTTAAAGGTAACAAATTTTTCTCTGGATTTGCTTTTTTCGTTTTCTGTAAATCAAATTCGTCTTTGCGTGTGTAAATTAGCTTTCTTTTCTTCGATTGAATTCCTGGGTATTCAAAAATTTGCCTGATTTATGATCCTTTTCTTCTCATTTCTGATATATGCATAAATTTTGGATCTTTTTTTGTGTAGTATTGTTAACTCAAAGGGGATTTGTAAGAAAGAATGGATATTGGAGAAATAATTGGTGAAGTTGCTCCTTGTGTGAGTATCCCAACAAAGAGTGCTATATACGTTTGGGGATACAATCAAAGTGGACAAACTGGTAGGAAAGGACAAGAGAAGCTTTTGCGTATCCCAAAACAGCTTCCTCCTGAGCTTTTTGGTTGCCCTGCTGGTGCCAATTCTCGTTGGCTCGATATCTCCTGTGGTCGAGAACATACAGCTGCGGTTGCATCAGATGGATCTCTCTTTACTTGGGGTATGTCTTTCACTTTCCATCATCTGGAATCTGCTCTTTGATGAGTTTTCTGTGGTTGAATACAAATGTTTCAAGATCATGAATCTATGGTTTGTATGTATATTGGGGGATTTGTACTTTTTATCAAAGTTGGGATGATTCTTATGTTTTCAGGGGCCAATGAATATGGTCAGCTTGGGGATGGAACCGAGGTTGGAAGGAAACATCCAAAGAAGGTGAAGCAGTTGCAGTCAGAGTTTGTGAAATTTGTGTCTTGTGGAGCTTTTTGCACTGCAGCTATTGCAGAATCCCGTGAAAATGACGGTACTCTTTCCACGAGTAGACTCTGGGTTTGGGGCCAAAATCAGGTAAAACAAGTTTATTCTTTTTATTGTGACTGAAACCAATTGTCCTTAATAGCCAATCGTCGCATCATGTGTTTCTTTGATGATTTCTCAAACAAAATTGTGATAGGGATCGAACCTGCCACGCTTATTTTCGGGGGCATTCCCAGCTACCACGGTATGTACTCAACTCTCTCCTCGTGTGATCCAAGTCTTAGTTAGCATTGACAGTTACTTTGGTATATGAACATCTTTTAGGCGATCCGCCAAGTTTCATGTGGGACAGCTCATGTTGTGGCCTTATCAGAGGAAGGCCTTCTTCAAGCTTGGGGTAAGAAATCTTTGAGACATTGTTAGAAAGTTAAACTTGTTAGTGGTAAAATTTTGGTTTTTATGATCTTGAGGTTTTTTGTGTTCCATTAAAAATAAGGCTATAATGAACAAGGCCAGCTTGGTAGAGGAGTCACTTGTGAAGGACTACAAGCACCTCGTGTGATAACTGCTTATGCGAAGTTCCTTGATGAAGCCCCCGAGCTTGTGAAGATTATGCAAGTTTCATGTGGGGAATACCACACTGCTGCTGTATCTGATATAGGCGAGGTGTAAGTTATCTTAAGTCCTTATCTTGAAAACTTTGTGGTTATTCACATGGCATTGGCATGGATAACTAATTCTCTCTGCAAGGGTCCTGGGAAGGAAAGTTTTTCTGATGGAGATATCTATCTCATCACATCCTAATAGGAAGCAGATGGAAATGCTTGGGGAAGCAAATGGATTCCTGACATTTGAATATGCAAGTCTCCTTCCCTTTCGCTTAATTTCTTTCGGTTATCTTATTCAATGTCCACTGCTTATCTCTGTCGTTGCAGTTACACTTGGGGATTAGGAAACCTAGGTCAGCTCGGGCATGTTTCTCTTCAGTCTGGGGATAAGGAGTTAATACCAAGGCGAGTCGCTGGTCTCGATGGTGTGTCCATGAAAGAAGTTGCTTGTGGCGGCGTACACACTTGTGCATTATCTGTGGAAGGAGCACTTTATGCTTGGGGTGGTGGCCAAGCTGGACAGCTAGGACTTGGTCCTCAGTCTGGTTTCTTGTTTTGTGTATCTAATGGAAGCGAAATGCTTCTACGTAATGTCCCGGTTTTAGTCATCCCAACCGATGTCCGGCTTGTTGCTTGTGGACATTCTCACACTCTTGTTTATATGAGAGATGGACGGATTTGTGGATGGGGTTATAATAGCTATGGTCAAGCAGCAAATGAGAAATCATCATATGCTTGGTACCCATCCCCTGTAGACTGGTATGTAGCTGAAACAAGTCTTGTCTTTTTGACTTATTCAATTTCTGAAACAAAGAGAAAGCAATGTAACTGCTGTTTTTGTTCAGGTGTGTAGGACAAGTGAGGAAGCTAGCAGCAGGAGGTGGTCACTCAGCTGTTTTAACCGATGCATTCTCGTTGAAGGAGCTGTGTGAATTTCAGTTAGCAGATAGTGTGAAACTCTCAAATGCTTCAATGATTCAAGATGTTGCATTCAGAATGGGTTCCGAAGCTTTAGCCCGCCTCTGCGAAAGACTCAGGTAAGCAAAGTTGAATGAACCAACTTCTCTGTTTCCTCGTAAACTTTGAAACTTGGAGAGAATCCAAGTGAAAACAAAGCTAAACAATGTGAATTGATGTGTTTCAGGGAGCAGGTACTTGATGGAGACTTTACTGATGGGGAAGAAGTATATTAAAAAGCTCAAAGCCCAAACTATAGAACAGTTTAGTACTGTTGGAAGTTATTACAATTCCTCCTGTATCATTGAACAATTGAAAATGTAGCAAACCAGAAACTCCATTCTTCAGCAGAACTCCATTTCCTGTCCTGTCTCTGTGACTGTAAGATCCAGAATATTGTAATTATCTATTATGTAGACTTTCTATTTGGAAATAAAACATGGATCTTGTTAGCATTGTGAAGTGTTTTGTGTTTATAGTTTATACAAAGACAGGATATAACAAGTAGTTAACTAGATGAGAGACATGGTTAATGTTAACAATCCACACATTACAATCCATATATATATATATAAAAGCAAGGTTCCAAAAGTCACAAACATCTCCTGAAACAGAAGAGAGATGTTGGAGGCTATTACAGCTATAGCCACTTATAAGTCAAAAGTCTTGTGCACACACATAAACACAAAATTCATTACTATTCATACTTATTCATATAATAATCCAGATCTCATCATCAAGAACCCACCACTTGCATGCTTTAGATCCTTATTGGGGAAGGAAGAACCTATCACTCACAGCATCCAGCCAGGGATGTAGCCGTTTCCTTGTTGGGACTGACCTTGAGTCGTTACAGCCATTTGCTCTGAACACACTGGATGGTTATATCTGTTTGCATCACCACAACAACATAGTTTTAGAATCTATAATAGAATGTGTTAAAAAGGCAAGAGAGGTTGTTTGAATTACCCAATTTGCAAAGTGGGATCACATTGAAGAGATTGGAATAGTCCCTGAGATTGAGCCTGAGGATGTCCATAGGCAACATTCTGTTGATCAACAGCTTCCCACCCCCCTCCTATATGGTGAGTACTTCTCACGCCGATCATATCTTCCAGCTAAACAAAACACACAACATTTTGAGATATACAGATTCATATAGAAGTAGAGGACTATATATAAATATAAAGTTTTGATATTTTCTTAGAAACTGAAGGAGAGAGAGTGAGAGAAAGAAGCATCGTATATATACCTTCATTGACAAAGCTCTGTTGGCTTCAAGCAAGATATGCTCTTTACCTTGGAGATCAGTGAGCTGGTCAAGCATATACTGTGTCTGCACAAAAACAAATATTTAATTTTCAGACTACTTCAAAAACATTTCATGTGTGTTCTGTGTATATATACAATATGGACTTGTTGAATCACCTTGATGCAGCGAACTTGCTTGAGAGAGCCGTCTAGTTGACGCTCGAGCTGCTCTAGCTCCTTTGAATTCAGAGGACCAAGGTCCTCTCCAAGCAGATTTCTGCAGCA